ACGCCCAAATCGTCCCACCTCCTTTCCCTTCCCTCACCAGCAAACCGCTCTGGATCCATCTATGGTTGTGAGAAATCGATTTAAGAAATTAACTGTTGGCCAGCAAAATATTCCTCACTTGCTGTAATTTAGTGGGAGAATAAGCACTGGTGGTGACAGGACCACAGCTGGAGTGCCATAGAAGTGTGCGTATGTGTGGTCAAAACAACATCGCAAAATAGCCACGCGGCTGTTCTCTTGTGCGCGTTGCTAATCTTGCATTTTTTGCACCCATTCTGTGTAAAATAAATTGCTACGCACACCAAGGCAGCCAGTGCGATCATACGTTTTGTGCGATTTCGTCCGCCAAATGACTGTCTTCTAATGATTTTTGCTGCTTTTTGCTTAGATTTGTGCAAAAATAGTTCAAAAGTTGCGGAATTTCTCACTAAAAATTTCACGTGACGGTACATAAAAGCAGAATTTGAAACCCGGAAGGATGAATATCCTTTCAAAATTCCAACCTCCTGAATTTCTACTCTTGAATGGTTTTTGCGAAAATACACGTGATTGTACATGAGTCCTCGGCATATTTAGGAACTGAATTCGAGTTTGTGGAATCCCTGCTTAGACAGGAAACATCCTACTGAAATTTTCAACCTCATAGCTCTTCTGGTTCCCGAGATAATGATCGCTCCCATCAAAACTTTCAAGGGGAGATAAGAATCTGCGGAGTCGTATATGGGCAGGGGGCGCTACGCTAAAATTTCGGCTTCCTAGATTCCGTGGTTCCCGAGGTAATAATTCACCCGCCAAAAGTTTCACGGGAACGCACGTGGTACCCGCTGGTACGGGAAGGCTGAATTCAAATTTGAAAGGTCATACGTGGGCAGGGGACACATCCATAAAATTTCAACTTCTTGGATTCCGTGTTTCCCGAGATAACAGTTTACCCATCAAAACTCTTACGGGGCTGTACGTATTACTTGCGGGTACGAGGAAGCTGAATTTAAATTTGCGGGATCATATGTAGATGGGGAACATTCCACTAAATTTTTAGCCTCCTAGCTTTTGTGGTTCCCGAGTTGAAAGTTGCGGACAAGTTGCTGCGGACAAACAACACACACACACAGGCAACCCCGTGACAATATACGTTTTGTACTGGTGTTACACAGCACAAAGCGCATAAAAAACGAATTTTGTCAGGAGGTTTTTTGGGTGTGTGTGTCTGTCTGTGCGTCTGTACCGAATTTTCATTTCGAGACCTACAAAAGCTTCAAGGCTGAAACTTGGCAAATTAATCTATACGCATGTACGGGTCCCTACCCCCAAAATGGTGTTCGTGCCCACGTGGTACTCACGTATGGGCAGGTGAAAGTTTGTGGCGAGTAATTGCTAACTCGGGAATCAGAAAAGCTTGAAAGGTAAAACTTTAAGGGAATGCTACCTGACAGTCGTGTTGGTCACTTTTAATTCTTTTACTTAGAAGCACCTGCCGAAAAAAAGTCTGCCGTTAAACTGCAGAGAACTATGCAATAAACGCATTTTCGCACCAGCAGTTGGTGAGTTGGACAATTATTATCTCTCTGTGAAGTGAAAACCATGCAAGTCGTGTTATCCATTCAGGCAGTTGGTGAGCCTCCATTATTTCTCGGTTCGAGCGCCTTTTTCGCAATCCGCAGTGCAATCGAGGCGTATCGTGCCGACAATAATCAACAAGGCTACTTTCGTCTGGACAGTCCAGCAACAGCAGAGCACATCCGGATGGCGTGCACCGACGACATAACTCAAATGGTCGCTTTAAATTTCTTTCCATTACAACTTCTAATACACGCATCCGCCCCTGTACTTACAAATTAGTTTCGAGAACATTGAAGTTTGAAAAAGATCACTTTTTCAGATCCCTGACCTTCCGGATATCGTGACATATACACCGTGGACTGTTCAACTGTGAAGCTTTTTTGTTTCATGCGTCAAAACAAACTGTGCTTTAATACCGAATAACGGAATTTCCGCGTTCCAAATTTGTTGCAACAGCGCTTATTATAAAATCCGGACCGACATTTCCACTGTGTTATGCTGCATTTGTTCCGCTGTAACAAGTGCCTATAAAATCACTCCAAAGAGGACGCTGAAACTGCGAAATGGGCACCGAAAAGGAACAATGTAATAGCCGAGCGTACTGATTTTGGTACGGTTATTGCAGAAGAACACTACTTGAGAGTTAGCAGTGTTAATTTAGTTTGATGCCTTTCTCCCTAGTACACCACTTTTGGCGCATTTTCAAAATACTTGTGTTTGTCCAGAAGAATGCTTATTAAGTCGACTCGATATCGCTTTACTTTTTTGCTCAAGAGTCGTCTTTTGAACACTTCTGAATTTCAACGCCGCTATTCCAGGTGATAATTTTTATGGGAAGTTAAATATGTACGCCAAATAACTTATTTTACGTTACAATCAGAGTTATAAAGCTTTCCTACAAAATGACAAAGAATGCCGAAGTCAAAATTTCTTTTATATTTGCCTATTTATGAGATATGGAGGCACACAGGAACAGCTAAAACGGTAGCGCAATGCCAGTAACAACCATTGGTTGGCATAGCTGTCGATGACACAGAATATACAAAACAGAAACGAAATAACCGTACTCTGAAGCGGTGTTCCAAACCCACAGAACCACAAAATCCCCTATTTTCAAGCAAGACAAAATAAATGTGTGGAAGAACATGGAATTTTTTTAGTTTTCTAACTGGAATTTTTTGCTTGCACATTTCTTACTGACTAATAATAATTGGCCAACGCACGGGGTACCGAGCGAAGATGCGTTTTTTACATAGTTCCCCGCAGTTTTTGTCGCTACCGGCACCAGTTTTTCCGGCAAATGCTTCTAATTAAATAAAGACTAGCCTCCAGAAATGTCAGAAAACACCCCCTTAAAGTTTTAGCTTCCTATCTTTTCTGCCTTCCGAGTTAGCAAGTTACCTGAAAAAGGGGGAACGTCCCTTAAAATATCAGCTTTCCAGCTTCTCTGGTTCCCGAGATAGCAGCTTGCCCGTAAAAAAATTTGGCGGGCTCGTATGTGAGTACCAAGCAGAGCCGGGAGCTGGGCTCGAAATCATTAATACCTACTTAAACGAGGAACACCCTCTTAAAATTCTAGCTTCCTAGCTTTTAAAGTTCCTCAGTTAGTAACTTACCCGAAAAAAACTTTGACGGACCCGTACAGCGGCACTACTTTCTTGGACGGAGAACTTCTTAAAATTCCAGTCTTCTAGCTTCTCAGGTTCCTGAGTTAAAAAGTTACCCGAAAAGAACTTTGGCGGGCCCGTACGTGGGTACCACGCGTACCCGAGAGCCGGATTTGAGCTCATCAATACCTACCTAGGTGAGGAACATTCCCTTAAAATTCCAGCCTTCTGGCTTTTCGGGTTCCCGAGTTAACTTACCCGAAGCAAATTTTGGAGGGCCCGTACGTGGGTACCACGCAGGTAAGAGCGCCCATTTCGGAAACAGGGCCCCGTATACGCATGTAGATCAACTTCCCCAAGTTCCAGCCCTGTAGCTTTTGTGAGTCCCGAGATGAAAAACCGGTACAGACGCGCAGCGCACATACAGATACACAGAGATAATCTCTCGTCAGTATGCGTTTTCTGCATTGCATAGCTACAAAAAACGCATAAAAATTGTTTTTTCACGAAAATAAAATCAAGCAGAGCAAACTAAAGGTGACGCGTTTCCTCGTCAGCCTGATGAATACGCCGTATTTTAAAGGCGCACGTGTAAAGCTAAAGCATCAATAACATTTCTGAGGAATAATGGCAGTTTACATGTGCACTGCAACTAATACTGCACCGTTAAAGATCATGAAGTGGGCAACTGCGATGCACACCTGGCAGCAGTTCAAGAATTCATCAACAAGCTGCTTGAATAAAATAAGAAAAAATTAAGGTGCAAATTAATGAGGACGACAAGGAATATGGTTTTTTTAGAGTTAGAGATTTTTCCTGGCTAGCCTTTACTTGATTCGGCAACACACCGCCAAGTGACAAATTATGGGCTATATTCGAGCTGCTCAAAGTCTGCAAAAATGAGCCACAATATGTGAACGAGCAACAGCAAACAATTGTTTTGATAGACAGTTATGCTGTAAAATGAAAAAGATCAAACCTGGACAAAGCAAAATATCAGTGAAATTCACAACAAACAAATGGTATTAAAATGACACTTAAAGAATTATCAGATTTCGTCCACTTACACGTATTGGAAATTAAATATCAAAGTGCTGAAGATGTGCCGGTGGATCTTATTAGCTTAGAAGGGGAAGTTTTAAATGCTGATGGTATTTTACTAGGCTTTAAACAATGGGCCAGAAAACCAAGCCGATAACAGCAATTTGTTGGGAATGAAAGGGTTCTGTGCGCTAGAAAACCACACACTGGAGACCACATAGCCTACTTCTTAAACCGCTTTTCAAACAAGAACTGGAAACAATAACAGAATAGTCTTTGTAATAAATTTAATCACAAGTACTATTTACACTGCGTCTCGCCTTCCATCTGTGCAGCACCAGGGATTAGCACCAAAACACGAATGAACTGCTACATAATCGCACAAATGCATGTAAAGTTACTGAGCTGCCGCAAACGGCGTTCCCGTTACCATATCGCCTCTATTGAACTGAAAATATTAAATAAAGAGATAAGTTGTGAAATCAAGCAAATAAAAAAATTTACGAGGGAAAAAACTGAGGCACTTAAATCAAGTAAGATCTGTCCAAAACAATACTCAAAGTAAAATACGGGTTTAATTCTAAACGCATTATGCTGAAAATACAGTGCTGTGTAAATCTACAAAATGCTCAAATTCAATACACAGAAAAAGTAGGTAAGATACCAGTTAACCAAAATGATGCAAAAAAAAAAAAGTGCTTCGTATCTTCCTCAATTATACCCTTTCTACCTCGTTATAAATATCGTCACATCCGCTTTTTCAGTCACATAAACGTATACCTGGAATAGGCCGAAAACGGTTCCATCGGCTCCGATATGACAAGTATGACGAACATCTCCTTGTGGTTCACTGATTAGCAATTTTTTCAGAGCCCTTTTTTCATGCTCCTCCTTCCCACGAGAAGAAATTTTAGGGTGTTTTGCGCAAGAAAGAAGAGTCAACGTCTGCTCGCATTTGTTGCTTGGCAGTTCGACAGCAAGCTTTGCAACAGTTTCATTTGGCCTGAACAAGCCAGTTCGACCGTTTCGCATGCATCCACGCCAAAAATACCCGTCAGGATATGCAGGTGGGCTGAAAGATTATTGATTGGTGTGTTTTGCAAAACAGTGCGGTACAATACAGAAAATATTATCATCCAGCACGTGATAAACGATAAGCACTCACTACTTATCAAGTACAATAATAGTTTGATTTTTGGAATACTGAAGATGATCAATGATTCCGTCACTGCAAGCTGTTACTGTTACCAGCGACTGAGGAATGATATCAGGAAGTTCTTGCAAGATATCGTTAAACGATGGACGCTCTTCCGGCTTATGAGCCCAGCACTGCATCATAAGATTATACATTTCAACAGGGCACGCATCTGGGCATTCCAGCCGTTGCAAATTTGGGTAGTCTATCGCCGCTAGCACCTGAAAAAGCATACACTGATATCAAAAACTGTACTTTTAGTCTAAAAAAACTGCCGAAAATTCTGAAAAAAAAAAAAAATAAAACCAGCCTGCAGAACGATTCTAACTCATTTTCACGACACCAGCGCATCTCTCAACTTTCATTTAGTTGCTATTATTGAATGTTTAGTACGAGACAATCGGCCCACCGGTAACCCTGACATTCATTCCCTTTTTTGCTCCCTCCACAGGTCAGATAAAAATACTTGGCATCGTATTCCTTTCGCCGCCTCCTGTACTCACGCCAAGCAAAAATAGCCCTTTTTATGCGCTTTTTGCAGTTATGCAATGCAGAAAACGCATACTGACGAGAGGTTGCCTGTGTGTATGTTTGTGTTTGTGCCTGTGTGTGCGCTGCACGTCTATGCCGATTTTTCATCTCGAGACCCAAAAAAAGCTACGGGACTGAAACTTGGGTAACTTAATCTACACGCGTGTACAGGCCCCCATCTTCAAAATGAGCCCTCTTACTCGCGTGGTGCCCACGTACGGGCCCGCCAAAATCTTCTTCGGGTAAGTTGTTAACTCGGGGACCTGAAAAGCTAGAAGTCTGGGATTTTAAGAGAGTGTTTTCTGCCCAAGTAGGTACTGATGAGTCCAAACCCAGCCCTCGGGTATGCGCGGCGCCCACATACGGGCCCACAAAAGTGTTTTTCGAGTAAGCTGCTAACTCAGGAGCCAGAAAAGCTGGAAAGATGAAATTTTAAGAGGGTGATCCCTGAAAGTTCTGGCGGCCAGTCTTAATTTGTTTAGCTAGAAGCATTTGCCGGAAAAACCGGTGCCGACAGCGACAAAAACTGCGGAGAAATATGCAAAAACGCATCTTCGCACGGGCAGCCCATGCGTTGGCCAAATATTAAAATTTAAACCAGAGTATCACAGAGAACCTGAGCACCAGTAAAACCGGCCCATGGCATTTGTCCAAACGAAAATAATTCGAATAGCGTCACTCCATAAGACCACACGTCACTGGCGGACGTAAATTTCAGGAACTTGATCGATTCGGGAGCGCACCAAGCGATTGGCAATTTTACTGCCTCGGAAAATTCACTTCGATAATAATCTTCACCCATACCCAACGAACGACTTAAACCAAAATCCGAGATTTTTACCTGCATTTGATAAACATGAAAGCTAATTAGTACAATAGACACATAAGATGATGCTAGAAAATAAAGTGCGAATGACAGATATACCAATCAAAGACCTTGTCAGCAGAAAAAACGAGCACGTTGCGAGCTGCAAGATCGCGATGAATTAGCCTTTCGTTTGCTAAGTATTCCATACCACGTGCAATTTGCATCGAAAATTTGCATAAAGTGTCGATAAAAAATGTTTCTCGAAGAGCGGGATTTTGGACGCACTCCAGCAAAGAGCCACATGGAGCTAACTCGGATACCTGAAAGGAAAAAAGAAGCAGCAGATAGGAAATCCACTGGCACTTTCATGGTTCTTTTTTTCAGTATAAGAACCACTTTGTTAAAGCAGTTTGAAAAGTTAAAAATAATTTTTTTAACACAGCCGCTATTCCCAAATTCGGATACGAAATCTTTCTGATGCATTATCAGACGAGTAATTAAGGCAAATGAAATGAAATATGAAACTGGAAAAAGAAATATACAAGAGAGTTTTCAAATGCACAACGGCGTGTAGAGAAAATGGAAACAAAGAGAGGAAGTCAGCGGAGAATTAGGCTAGCGGAAATAACGGAAGTGTAAATTGCAAATGCATTCCATATTTATAACAACAATGTGCCTGATCTAAAAGAAATTAGCTCGTTTTTACAGAAATCTGAAAAAGAAACTGAATAACAGTGTGTGAAGTTCAAAACACCACACACACACACACACACACACACACGCAAACGAGAAAGCTGACAGGATGAATTGTAGCAGAGTTTCAAAACTCTGTAAACAATAAGGCATAAGAGACGCCCCAACTCGAAGAACATAAATAACTGGCCAACGCACGGGCTGCCAGTGCGAAGATGCGCTTTTTGCATAGCTCCTCGCAGTTTTTATCGCTACCGGCACCGATTTTTTCGGCAAATGCTTCTAGCTAAACAAATTAAGACTGGCCGCCCGTAACTGTCAGGAAACACCCCTTAAAATTTCAGCTTTCTTGCTTTCCTGGCTCCTGAGTTAGTAACTTACTGGAAAAAATTTCACGGCCCCGTACGTGGGTACCACGCATGCCCGATGTCTGGGTTTGAGCTCGTTGAGACTTACGAGGACGGAGAACATCCTCTTAAAATTACAGTCGTCTAGCTTTTCAGGTTCTCGAGTTAGCAACTTACCCGAGAGAAACATTTGTGAGCCCACGCGCGGGCACCACGCATGCCCGAGGGTTGGGTTTAAAGCTCATTAAGACTTACATGGACAGGGGAAGTCCCCGTAAAATCTCAGCTTTCTAGCGTTTCTGATTCCCGAGTTGTCAACTTACCCGGAAAAATTTTGGCGGGCCTGTATATGGGTACCACGCGTACCCGGAGTCTGGGTTTGAGCTCAGTGAGACTTAGGTCGACGGGGAATATCCTCTTAAAATTACAGTGCTTTAGCTTTTCAAATTCCGGAGTTACCAACTTACCTGAAAAAAACTTTCAGAGGCCCGCATGTGGGTACCGCGCGGGTAAGAGCGCCCATTTTGGGGATGGGGATCCGTACGTGTATGTAGATTAAGTTCCCAAAGTTTCAGCCCTGTAGCTTTTGTAGGTCTTGAGATGAAAAACCGTGACAGACGCGCACACAGACACATACACACACACACACACATACAACCCTTCGTCAATATGCGTTTTCTGCTTTGCATAGCTGCAAAAAACGCATAAAAATGGCTCGTTGCTGGGACATAGTACAACGGGGGGCACCACACGAATAAGACTAATGGCGCTCTGCAGAAGCGAGAGAGGAAGGCAGAAGTGAGAGAGGACGGTGAGTTTGCTAGTAGGTGAGCTGAAGCAAATTTGGCATTTTACATCAAAAGAAGGAAAGTAGGGGAAAGAAAGCCAGTATTACCAGACAAGGCCCTATCGATCATGCAGAAGTTTCAGCTACACCGATGCCGTTGGAGGTGAATTACAATTAAATGCTAGCTAAACAAAATAATATAAATGGCAACGCGCACCAGACTAGCCGGTGCGCTCATGCGTTTTGTGCAATTCAGCCCACCGAACGATTGCCTGTTAATGATTTCCACTGCTCTGTACTTTAGTCTATGCAAAAAAAGTTCATACATTGGAAAACAGTTAAAAATTTCACGTACCAGCGTATGAAAGCTGAATTCGAAACCTTGAAGGATGAATATCTTTCCGTGATTCCCGAGTTAATTTAAAAATTTCACGCACCTGCGTATGAAAGCTGAATTCGAAATCTTGAAGGATGAATATCTTTCCGTGATTCCCGAGTTAATAGTTTATCCGTCAAAAATCTCACGGGGCCGTTAGTGGTAACCGAGACGCGAGAACGCTGAATTTGAATGGGCTAGGTTCAGCGTAGGCAGGGGACCATTAGTTTTAAATTTCAGCCTCCTAGACTCCGAGGTTCCCGAGATATTAACTTACCCGTGAAAAACTTTCACGGAGCCGTACGTATTACCCGCGGGTAAGGGAAGACTGAATTTGAATGGGTGAGGTTGAGGGTGGGCAGGGGGTCATTATCCTAAAACTTCAGCTTCCTAGACTCCGTGGTTTCCGAGATATTAACTTATCCGTGAATAACTTTCACGGGGCCGTACATGTTACCCGCGGGTAAGGGAAGGCTGATTTTGAATGGG